TGATGCTTGGAGCGATACCGTTTATACCTCTTCACCATCTTATCAAAAACGGTTGTTTTCTTCTCCTCACGGCGCCTCCTCTCCACTTCCAAAACTAGGGTCTAAAAAAAAGAGAATATATATACATGCATGTGAGTTAGTACGCATCAAAATCAACTTCACGACACACGAAAGAACAGAGAAATTACCTTTAACGCCATACCAGCGACCCTCCGAGACAGCTCCGTATCGCTGATAGCGCTCAGCATCTCGCGCTCGGGGGCAGCACACAGTAGGGCCATCTCCAGCGCAACCCGCTCGCTGTGCTGTAACAAGTTGTAAGCCTCTGGAATCACGATGCGGCGGCCAGATCCGTCTGCTGTCATCTCCACGCGTGCAAAGTTTTCCGCCATCTCATCCACATTCCCGTGGGCGGCCTCAGCAGCTGGTCCCCCAGCGTCGCCACCGACAAAGGGCGATGAGCTACCCTCGACAACACGAGCCAAGTTGGTACCAAAATTAGCACTTATCTGGTTGGCCGGCCTCCCCGAACGGATGGCGTCGGCCATAAAGACGGGCCTAGTTGTTTGGCGAGGCGCGTCGCCCTCTTCATCTCCAGTCGCCACCGCCTTACCCATCACGAGCCTCCTCCTTTTTCTCTCCTCGGGCTCCTCGCCTTTGGAAGGCTCGTCCGCAGGTTTCGGAGACAATGTCGACGGCCTCGCCTCATTTGTAGCCACCTCCGCAGGAGCAACCTCTTATAAAGAGGCTACGGTCACCCCTTCCCTGACAGAAGCAAAAAGTATTTCCTGCGTATTCTGACCAACATCTGATCGGGAGGAGGCGGATGCCGTCGCCCTCCTCTTAGGAGCACTTCAACCTGGCAATAGAAGTGATTTAGCTGACGAAGTTTGTGAAAGCGACTAATTAAAGTCGAAGAAATACCTGAAGGGCTCGCGGGACCATAACGTTCAATGAATTCAGACCACGTACGGGTCTCTTCCGCGAGAGGCAGCAAACTGGACACCCACTGCTTAATATCGGTTACAAATCGGGGGACGTGAGCCATTGCTGCAAAATAACAGAAAAATCATAGGGATGGTATAATCGGAACCGCTATAGGCACGTACGATAAATGACTCGACGGATAGGAATACTTACGTCTCGAATTCCACCTCTCAGGGAATCCGACGGGGTTAGACACCAGGTGCTCCGTCTTGATAAAGAAGTATCTACGCCAATAGCCCCGGTTAGCCCGATCGTCGGTTTGCACGACCAACCCCTTCGAGCCACGATTCTTTAGATGCAGCATGGTGCCCCTCAGGTAGTTGGCGCTGAATAGCTGCAATAGGTGGTGGACGGAGACCTCCAGCCCGACCAGCTCAGCGTATGTAGACATTACCCTACATACCTTTAGGGTATACGGAGTGAGTTGGGTGGGACACATGTTGTAATAACGGCAGAGTTCTTCCGCCAATGGAAAAATGGGGAGGCCATAGCCGATCAAAAAGGGATATTCGTAAAACGTACAGTACCCCGGTCTATGGGTGTTCGCGTAGTCCGTTCCTGCTAAAACCATCTCCACGTGAGCGGGTATGTCATACGACGCACGAAGAGTATCTAAATCAATTTGTTTTAACTCAGATTTCTCCCAAGGTTGTTCGGGAGAATCCCGTTGAAAGTCCCTCCTAATAAGGAGTTGCTTCGGGAGTACGTTATCTACGGTAAGAGGGGTGAGATCCTCCCCTTTCTCTCCCTTACTGCCGCAGGATGGAGGCGGTAAGTCAGATGATTTATTATTACGAGCCCCCGGAGCGTTATCCCGTTTAGGTTTTGTCATGGTTTCCGATTAAGGAGTGATGTACTACACAACCACAAGTGTACTTTCAGGGAAGCGATGATTTTTCCTAAAAAGGAAGCGTTTTCTTGAAATAGTTGGAAAACGTTTGCAGATGATCTAAAGTTAGGTTAAGTTGAACCCTTTCCCTATTTATAGGGTCGGGTAGCGTCGAAATCGAAGAGGCAAGACCCCAAACAGGCGCGGGAAACCAAGCATCAGAACACCTTTTGTACTTCCTCGGGAACACGCGTAATGATGACGCCTGCATATGGTGACGTCATCTCAGGGAGGGAATTGCGCGCCAATATGTCAACAAATTCAAATGATCGCCCCTCCATGTCGTCGTCTCCAAACATGGTCAAAATTTTCCTAATACAAGGATCATGGTTCCATCCATCGGCGACGCACTTCGTTACGTCACCAACGAACGGAGGGACTATCTGTATGGGGTCAAATTCTGCCCACTACGATAGCAACGACCCACGACTAAATAATAGCCGAAGTAGAGGGGACGACCTAAGAATGTCAGAGCGAAAGCGTGCCCTTAGGTCTCGTCGTCTCCTCGAAAGCACGTGACCTATCCCTATATTATTTTATTATTTTTGAGGGGGTTCTCTTGTTATATAAAGGAGAATCCCAATGTTGTAAAGGGCAGGGGATCTTTTCAATAATAAGCTATCTTTTCTTTCTACTTCTCTCTCTCTCTCAACAAGTTTTCTCTTACTCTCTATCGAATATCCAAGTTGTTGAAATAATCACAAGCATAATACATATTTCTAGGTCTAATTATATTCGATTACGATTTACCTTTGATTCATTTTGATTGTTTTCGCTTACAAAGTAATTAGTATCTTTTGAGCAAAACAGATAGCATATAAATAAGATAGATATTCAATTAAGAGAGATTATATCTTAAGACATAAATACTGGTAAAATAGTTCAACCCTCCTTCTAATCAATATTTCTTAAGGGACGTGTAAAAGAGAAAAATGACAGATAATTTGAGACGAATGGAGTAAGTATCTTAATTAATTTCCTAGACATGAGGCATGGGCGGGTAAAAATTAAAATTTTGTTTGCACCGGATATTTATATTAGAATTTTATAAATTTAAAATGGTTAAGAGAGATAAATTAAGGTGTGAATGGTGCTTTTAAAACCTTATTTCAAGCGAAGCTAAGAAAGTAAGATCTTAGATTTCTAGTTGAACACAATGGCTTCGTCGCCCCACCACATCAGCTTCGGTGCCAAACAGACTTGTTGACCATCAGCTGCTTATCCTCTCTTATATTAGTAGTAGATGACATTGTCCCCTTAGTGTTAAACTCTCACAAATTTTTAACATAATTTCATACCGTTAATATATTCGTACACCTTATATATAACGCACACCCAACAATTTATCTGGCATAAATAATAGGAGAGTCATATCCATGATATCGAAAATGATGGATTATAATAAGCAGCGGAAGCAATCTCAGTATTCAAATCACATGTAATCTAGACAACTAGTATAAACGGGATTTCACGGGTTACCTCTTGAAGCGTGGACAAAGCTCCTCTATCACGTGAGCCTCTAATTCCACAGCAATTCGATGAAATCTCCATCACCCGCACGATCACGATCTCCGAACGTCCACGGTCTTCTACTGTGTTACCCAAATAATATCCGAAAATAGCAATTTCGTGTGGGCAAAATTTCTAGGAATACTTGGCTGAAAATTTCGGCCACCGTGTACTACTCCCTCTAGGTGGAAAACCTTATGTATCTATAGCACAAGTTTTAAGGGTTAAAACCCTTTTTTAAAACCTGTTGGGTTTTCTTTTCCACCAGAAAAAGGATTCCTTTATTTTCTATTATTGAGGCACTGTAGGAACCACATAATTTAATCAACAAGGCCCCAATTATGGAATTAATTTCTGATTTTCGAAATTAATATCTATTATAATTAATTACGAATTATTCCACTAAAAATTCATAATTGCACTCTTTATTCAATTTTGAAATTCATCCATTAAATCTTATTTAACTCCCCATGTTAAGATTCATATACTAATTAATTAAATTAAATTACTGACGAATTAATTTATTGATTATTTTCTTTAGATTTTTGCTTAACTTATTTCATGTGTCGGATACAAAATCCACCGGCCGGGGTATACACATGAAAACTTATAAGCTTTCATAAAGGTGTATCATCAATCTCTAAACCAAGACATGGATTCCATCAACTAACTATTACTTCGCCAATGTACATTATTATTATTATCCAATTTACCAGGCATATTGACCCACGAAAGAATCTTGCCTTTTAATAAATCAAAATAATAATGTACACAACTAATAATAATTATATCAAGATTAAGAGTATAAGTACATGTAATGGCTAGATAGTTTATTTTATTAAGTCTGTATAAAATACTTATCTCTACTTGGTCCATTCAATACATACAAAATGTACTAGCACAAGTAGTTGGAATTAAAAACCATTCCCATAATCATGATAAATTATATTTAATCTTGTGCTACAATCATCCATGATGGTTTGTCCAAATCCATTATTAGATTGTGAACTCAAACTTTATACTTATAAGAACCGATGATTTAATCTTCCGTGTATAAGCTAAACTCCATACACTAAATCATCTACTATATAAGCAAAGGACACAAACTAATATATGATCTATTTAAAACTTTATTAAAATTGAATAAACAATTATTCATAATAAATACTATATCTAAACCAAACCTATGGTTAATAGTATATATCCCACAGAAAAGACAATTTATCTCCCTTTTGATAAGAATTGACAACTTCATTGATAATTTCTGGTAAGCAACCTTCAACAAAAGAGAGAAAAGAAGAAGAAGAGGAAAGCATAAACATGGAGGAACCTTTCTCAGATTATCAGAGAATGAAAAGTATTACTGTACAAGCTAACTAATGTTCTGTTATATACAGTATACTAACCCATTCCCTTTAATTTAGCTGTGTCCGGCTGCCACTAACTTCCTAACTACCATTAACTAAGCAAACTAACTACAATTATCATTAACTAAGTTAGCTAACTATAGTCAGTCTCCTAATATCTCAACACCCTCCCTCAAGCTGATGGTTGAAATATGTCTTTCAACCCCAGCTTGGATAGGAGACAATCATGTTGTAGTTTGCCAAGGCTCTTAGTTAGTAAGTCTGCTAGTTGTTCCTTGGTAGATATGAAAAGTCTTTATCATCCCTTGAATAATCTTCTCCCTAACAAAATGACAGTCAATGTCAATATGCTTCGTTCTCTCATGAAAAATGGGATTGGCTGCAATCTGAATCGCAGCTTTACTGTCACAATATAGAAAGATAGGCCAGTTAACATCAACTCCCAGCTCTTTGTACAATCCTGTTAACCAAGTCAATTCAGCAACTGTGGAGGCCATGCTTCTGAATTCTGCCTCTGCTGAGTTTCTAGCTACTGTGTCCTGTTTCTTCGACTTCCAGGATATGGTAGCTTCCCCAAACTTTACTAGATACCCTGTAACATATCTTCTAGTTTGTAAACAACCTCCCCAATCTGAGTCACAATAGGCTACAAGTGTGCTAGAAATGTTTGAGGGCATTAGTAGACCTAGACCAGGAGCTGCCTTGAGGTATCTTACAACTCTATGAGCAGCTTTAAGGTGTGACTGCTTTGGCTTGTGCATAATTTGACTGAGCACTTGCACAGCATAAGCAATATCAATTCTAGTCATAGTAAGATACAATAACCTTCCTATGAGCCTCTGATATTGACATGGATCTGCCAATAAGTTGTCATCTTTTGTTGCTTCAGGATCTGAGTCTCCTTTGATGAAAGAATCATACACTTCAGATGTGAGTTTCATATTGGATTCTAGTGGAGTACCAGCTGGTTTGGATCCTCCTAGTTCCATTTCAGAGATAGTTCCAAATCATATTTTTTTTGGCTCATTATTATGCCTTTTCTGGATCTAGAAAATTCTATCCAAGAAAGAATTTTAGTTCACCCAAATCCTTCATTTTGAACCTGAGCTTAAGATCATTCCTTGTTTTGATTATCAAATCATAACAGCTTCCTGTCACTAGTAGATCATCTATATACACCAAGACCACTACCAGTGCACTATGCTCTTTTTTGGTGAAAAGAGAGTAATCATAGTGACTTTGAGTGAAGCCAAGATCCATTAATGCATCAGTTAGTTTTTTTTTTCCATTGTCTAGGGGCTTGTTTCAGGCCAATACAATGACTTTTGAAGTTTGCAAACCTTAGAACTCGCTACCTGGCTGAGGAATCTCCATGTAAACCTCCTTTAGAAGGTCACCTTGCAAAAAGGCATTATGCACATCCATTTAATAGATAGGCCAATGCTTGGCAGCTGCAATAGCAATGACAGATCTCACCGTGACCATTTTGGCCACAGGAGAGAAAGTTTTTGTGTAATCGAGCCCCTCCTGTTGACTATATCCCTTAGCCACTAGCCTGGCTTTATACCTCTCCACAGCTCCTGAGGCAGTGTACTTCACCTTGAATACCCATCTGCAACCTATAGGCATCTTCCCGGGTGGGAGATCAACAATACTCCAAGTGTGGTTATCCTCTAAGGCTGCAATCTCTGATTGCATAGCCTCTATCCATTGCTTATGTTTGATAGCTTCAGAATAAGACTGAGGTTCTGCAATAGCTGAATAGGCAGTAAGAGCAGCACTAAAAGGCTGAGATATATTAGCATAGGACACATAGTTGGACATAGGATAAAAACAGTTTAGCATTTCCTTGCTTCTGAGTGATATAGTCTTTTAGCCAAACAGGTGGTCTACTGGTTCTGGTGGATTTTCTGCTTGACTCAGGTACATTTGAGGTCATAGAAATGTCATGGGTTGGATGACTGGAATCATCAACCGTCTCAGTAGGCCCATCAGAAGCTGGTGTGTCCAACATGTCAGGTGGTTGAACAACTGCTTCTGGCATGGCAGTGTCTAAGGCTAACTCAGCAGATTCAGCAATATCTGATATGGATGACATAGAAAGAGAAGTGGGAGAGACAGTAGTTAAGTCTAGGACTGGAAATAGAGAGGAGATAGTAGTAGGAAGATGCTGAAAAGGAAAGACATCTTCTTTGAACACTACTTCTCTGCTAACTTGAAAACTCCTTAAGTGAATAACATATATTTTATATCCCTTTTGAGTCAGAGAATAACCAAGTAAAATGGCAGGAACAACTCTAGGTGAGAATTTGTCTCCTCCTTTGAGGTCTGTGACATACCCCAAACAACCAAACACCCTCAGATGCTTTAATGAGGGCAAGTGACCATGTAACACTTCATAGGGGGCCCTGCCTTGAAGAGTAGGTGTAGGTATTCTGTTGATCACATAAACAGCAGTTAGAGCACATTTTCCCCAGAACTTTAGAGGAACTGATGCTTGGAACCTCAAGGATCTTGCAGTATCTAGAGTATATCTGTGCCTCCTTTCTACTACTCCATTTTGTTGAGACGTGTAGACACAAGAACTTTGATGACTGATCCCAAAAGACTGAAGCAGTGCTGTCATTTGTGAATTGAAGAACTCACATCCATTGTCAGTTCTGAGCACTTTTATAGAACATGAATAAACATTCTGAACCATGAGTAAGAAATTTCTTAGCACTACAATTACTTCACCTTTTCAAGGAAGCAAGAAGATAGTATACCCGGAGTGATCATCAACTAAGGTTAGAAAATACCTCATACCATCATATGTAGGAACTCTATAAGGACCCCAAACATCACCATGAATAGTGTGAAAGCAAGTAGTAGAGACAGTATTACTCAAAGGAAATGTCAGTCTTGATTGCTTAGCTAATGGACAAACAATACAATGACCTTCAGATGTATCAAGTTCTACAGATTGAAAATCCTTCATTTTTTTTCTTCAGAGTACTAAGTGGCACATGGCCTAGTCGTTTATGCCAATGGTCTACACTTATTCTACTGCCAATTATTGTATTTACAGTAACGGACTTTGAGACATCTTTACACTGTGAAACAGGTGTCACAGCAGAATCCACATGAAGCTTGCTATTATGGTTGAACACATATAGACCACTGTCCTCTCTTCCAATCCCCTTCACTTTGCCACTGAAGAGATCCTGAAAAATGAAGAAGTCAGGAAAGAACATGGCTGCACACTTTAATTCTTTTGTTAACTTTGACACAGACAAGAGGTTGTATTTCAATCCAGGTATATGCATCACATTGGTTATCTTTTGACCAGGAAAAATATAGGTAGATCCTATGTGATTGACAGTAATTGTCTCCCTATTGGGTAGATGAACTTTGCACTCTTTAGATTTATCACATGAACTATTTTCAGTCAAGATGTGTTTATCATTAACCATGTGGTTTGATGCTCCAGAGTCTACTATCCATTTAATTAGATCTTCACTAGTAGTAGTAGCTGCATTTGCTATACTTGCTGTCACAGATGAATTACCATTCTCATTCCCTTTGCGAAGCATCTGCAAAATTTGAGTATACTGTTCCTGAGTGAATTGTGGAATCCCTGCCAGTCCTGCTAGTCCTGCTTGAATGTTCTGATTGAACTTGACTAGGTGCTGCATTTCTGGCCATGTTAGCACTTGCACTAGTAATCTCACTCACAGAAGCAGAGTTGACATCATTGTTAGATTGGTTGTCTCTAGCATAGTTGACAGAAAGAGTCTTCTTCTTGGCTTTGAAGTCTACTGGATATCCTACTAGTTTGTAGCATGTATCTCTGGTGTGCCCTTTGAAATGACAATAGTCACAATAGAGTTTGTTCTTCTTGTGTCTATAGACTGGTCCTGAACTAGAGGATCTTCCTTTGTTATTATACATGGCAGCATTCCAGAACTATATGAGTTAGTAGCCGTGTAACCTCCATTGTTGCTGAACAAGGCTATTCCTTCATTTATCTCAGGCACATGTGTAGAGGGAGTCAAAGATCTCCTACTTTCCTAAGATACTATCATAGCATATGCCTTATTAATTGAAGGAGTTGGTGATATCATCATAATCTGATTACTAGACTGAGCATACGACTCATTCAGTCCCATTAAAAACTGCAAAAGTCTTTGAGATTCAAAATGCTCAACATACTTTTTGGACTCTTCACAACCACAACCAGGACAAGGCATTAAGGCATAAATTCTGCCCACAATTCCTTCAGTTTTGAGAAATAAACTGAAATTGATGAGATGCCCTGAGTTAAGGCGGCTATTTGTCTACGAAGATACAAAATTCTAGATCCATTAACTTTATCAAAAGTTTCCCTAAGTTCAGACGAAACCTTCTGAGCATTTGTAGCATACACCATACCACTCAGTAATTCATTGCTGACTGAATTCATCATCCATGAAAGCACTATAGCATTACACATCTCCCACAACTCATGCAAAGATGGATCAAATTTGTCCTTAGAATACCTACCATCAACAAATCCTAATTTGCTTCTTCCTAGTAGGCTAACTTGCATAGAACTGTTCCATAAAGCATAATTCTCAGGACCTGTAAGTTTAATTGAAATCAGCGAGCTACCTGGAGTGTCATAAAGGCTGGAGGTGGTGCAGGGACATCAGTAGTATCATCCGGGATCTCAACCGCCATCGAAATAAGCTTGAAAACTCAGAGAAATTTCTGAATTATAAAACCCTAGCTGCTCAAAGACGAGTTACACCAACAATGGCGACTCGAAAGCGATTAGGCAAAAAAAGAACAATTGAAGATAACACCAGAGGAGAGTGAACGGAGCTCGGATCAATCCGCAAGCTCTGATACCATGATAATTTCTGGTAAGCAACCTTCAACAAAAGAGAGAAAAGAAGAAGAAGAGGAAAGCATAAACATGAAGGAACCTTTCTAAGATTATCAGAGAATGAAAAGTGTTACTGTACAAGCTAACTAATTTTCTGTTATATACAATATACTAACCCAACTCCTTTAACTTAGCTGTGTCCAGCTGTCACTAACTTCCTAACTACTATTAACTAAACTAACTAACTACAATTATCATTAACTAAGCTAGCTAACTATAGTTAGTCTCCTAATATCTCAAACATTCATCTACACCATACGTTAAAAAGGGAAAAATGAAGGGACAACCCATTACATTTCATAATATTTTAGCTTAACTAATATTCTTTTACGTTATCAAATTACTTTTAATTGTAATAACAAATATCTGTTTTATTTTCAAGATTATAAAATACAAAACCGCGTAACTCCACTATCTCATCTTTCTGTATATCTTACATTCAAGCTGATCTTGAGAATGATTACTCCTTTTATGCATTTTGTAACAATTTAAGTTAGGCTATCTTCAAAATACAAGTAGCTAATAATTTTTTATGATAAGACTTGGATTTATGTTGAATTTTTATGAGAAAACCATTTGGTTTTTCTTCATTGGTCTTTTTTGAATTGATGATTCACTTGAAGCTATAACTGTCCTAACTTGATAATAACATAACTGGCTCTTAAAATAAAAAAGAAAACAAGATCAAACCATAGATTTAGGTAGTAGGGTACCCATCAAAAAGCACAAGAAAATGATCTTTTGAGAAAAAACTTGAGCTTCATTTCACTACTACTCCCTCCGGTCCAAAATAAGTGATTCTTTGGATATTTTCACACAAATTAAGAAATCCACCTTTTAGCATTAATTAACAATGAAATTGACCATATTAACCTTTATTATCTCACATAAACACTCCTAACACATATTCCAACACCATTTACTTCAAGGACAATGTAGGAAAAAAATAATTAATTCATTCTTGAAATCTGGAAAAATCACTTATTTTGGACCACAAGAAAAATGTCAAAAAATTACTTATTTTGGACCGGAGGGAGTATATTTTACTAAAAGGAATCTTTACAAAAATAGCCGGCATATTTT